GAAGATTGAAGCATTTGTCATATCTGTGGACAAGCTTTTCCATCCCCTTGTCATAGAATGTTGCCGCCAGTGAATTGAGATGGCCTTAACAACGTTGTTTTGAAGATCATCATTAGTCTTAAACCTCTAACCTACTAGCAACATTTTCAGTTTGGGAAAGAGATGGAAGTCTTCACACATTAAAAAGTTCCAAGCTGGGTGGAAGTCTTTCACCATCTTTAAACACCCAGAGTCTACACTCTGGGTGTTACTTGCCCTGATATAGTGCCGAGCAACTTCCACCTCTTTCCTGAACAGAAAAAGTGGCTAGGAGGGCAGAGGTTCAAGACTAATGACAATCTTCAAAACAATGTTAGGGCCCATCTCAAGTAATTGGCAGCAACATTCTATGACAAGGGGATGGAAAAGCTTGTCCACAGATACGACAAATGCCTCAATCTTCACAGTGATTATGTCGAAAAGTAACCATGTTTGTACCTAACTTTTGGTAATAAATTCATTTTGTTATTTACACTTGTCTTTTCTTTATGGACCATTGGAGCTTGGGAAAAAAACCTATGTAGAAAGTCAATAATAACAAGAGGACAATGGTTTATGGGACCCAAAAATTAATCTGTAGTAGCATGAGTTCATTATAAAGCAACAAAGAGTTTTCTTATAATTTTCCTATATTTTTGGCTGGACCGACATCAGCTGTCTGTAATAACCTAAAGTCTGTTATATCAGAGTTTGTAATATTGAGCTTTCCCTGTATTAAAAACATTAAAAATTTAAGTTTTAACTTTTTATAGCTTAATTTATTCTTTCTAAAATCAAAAAGCTGAAATTTTTCACATTTTATATATTAATATGTGGTATACACTTCTTCAAATCCTTGGCCTTTAATTTAAGTTTATGTTATTAATAATAACAATTTTTTATTAAAAACAAATTCCTACTTGTCATAACTTTTTTTGGAAATAACAAATTTATGACTATTTTGAATTAAAATTCACATAGTTCTTATCCTAATAAATTTATAAGTATAGCTTCTAATAATGCAACACAGACAATTTCAGTCAGTACAATGCAGTCATTAATTTATACAGTTATAATTTTTAGGTAATTTTAAAATAATGCAATCTATCTCTCTCATAACAGAAATTATAAATAAATCTTATTATACAGTATATGTAAAAATTAATATGCTATATATTCATTCAAGCTGAAAAAATGCTCACAAATTTGAATGCTATTTTTTATCACTATATTAGGCAGATAATCTCACACTTAAATTTTTATTAAGAAAATTTATTCTCCTACAATATATGTAAATTTTCGTTACAAATTTTATTCAATTTTATCTGATATATGTTAATTATTAAAAGTATTATCTTAATTTTTATTCAAAAAATAAGTTGAAAAATTGTTAAATTGATATGACATCTGTTTTAGTCAACAGGCTTTAACAACTACTGTATTTACCTTACTCTTAGACAAACGAGTCAAGATGTAATCAAGGAATAGTTAGAAAAAAAAGCTTTTTTTAANGATGATCAAAGTACTCAGAATGTTTGTAAATATGTAAATTTTTATTAAGAAAATTTATTCTCCTACAATATATGTAAATTTTCGTTACAAATTTTATTCAATTTTATCTGATATATGTTAATTATTAAAAGTATTATCTTAATTTTTATTCAAAAAATAAGTTGAAAAATTGTTAAATTGATATGACATCTGTTTTAGTCAACAGGCTTTAACAACTACTGTATTTACCTTACTCTTAGACAAACGAGTCAAGATGTAATCAAGGAATAGTTAGAAAAAAAAGCTTTTTTTAAGCTCAAATCAGTAAATGTTAGCAATGAAAAAACAGTATTACTACTACTTTTGCATTATAAAGTTTAAATAAACAAATACAGTGATTTGATAAAGTACACAATAAAATATGACTTAATTTAAATAAAGTGTACTTTTCAGACCATATAATATGCATTTGAGTAAAATCTTCACTAATTTATCTAGGTTTTCCTCAAGGAGTCTAAGTTATTGAGGTTCTAATGTATTTTCAAAAACTGTTTATGAAATCATTTATAAAACATCAGAAATTTAAAAAAGATTCTTTGGAATTTCTCCCTTTATTCAATTTAATCAAACTTATTTTTTTTTTAAATCAGATATGAATTTTCTAAAACTGAATGCTGAGTTGTAATNACAGAGGTAATTATATTGAACTTGTTTACTTATTAAGTATGTCAGATAATCTATTAAAAATATATTTAGAGAAGTCTATGGTTTTTACTGGTTTATCAAACAAACAAATACAAATGGACCCTAGACAATCACTGACGCGCAATTAACTGATTGCCCCTGAAAGTCGGCTTCTTACAGAAACACAGCTTCCCTATCATCAAATGTCACGGCATGCCACTGGTATATATGCCAGATTTTAATCAAACTTATAAAAATAATATATCTTCCTATCAGTAAATCCAAAGTATAAATCTAAAACTTTTCGTTTTCTTTTATGACCCATAACTTTACTTGACACAAAACAATCCAAGACTCGTTGCTCAGAGAAAATTAAACCAAAACAAAACAAAAACTAGAGTAACATAAAATCTACATTAAAAAAATGATTAAAAAATGAATTTTAAATTATTTTTGTATTTATTTTTTGCAAATAAAGTAAATAAAATGATGACTATGAAACAATAAATAAAACAATAATTGCAAAAAAATGAAATGGCAACTACGAGGGCAGTTTTTTCAAGCTCCAATGGTCCATAAAACAAAGACAAGTGTAAATAACAAAATGAATTTTTTACCAAAAGTTAGGTACAAACATGGTTACTTTTTGACATAATCACCGTGAAGATTGAAGCATTTGTCATATCTGTGGACAAGCTTTTCCATCCCCTTGTCATAGAATGTTGCCGCCAGTGAATTGAGATGGCCTTAACAACGTTGTTTTGAAGATCATCATTAGTCTTAAACCTCTAACCTACTAGCAACATTTTCAGTTTGGGAAAGAGATGGAAGTCTTCACACATTAAAAAGTTCCAAGCTGGGTGGAAGTCTTTCACCATCTTTAAACACCCAGAGTCTACACTCTGGGTGTTACTTGCCCTGATATAGTGCCGAGCAACTTCCACCTCTTTCCTGAACAGAAAAAGTGGCTAGGAGGGCAGAGGTTCAAGACTAATGACAATCTTCAAAACAATGTTAGGGCCCATCTCAAGTAATTGGCAGCAACATTCTATGACAAGGGGATGGAAAAGCTTGTCCACAGATACGACAAATGCCTCAATCTTCACAGTGATTATGTCGAAAAGTAACCATGTTTGTACCTAACTTTTGGTAATAAATTCATTTTGTTATTTACACTTGTCTTTTCTTTATGGACCATTGGAGCTTGGGAAAAAAACCTATGTAGAAAGTCAATAATAACAAGAGGACAATGGTTTATGGGACCCAAAAATTAATCTGTAGTAGCATGAGTTCATTATAAAGCAACAAAGAGTTTTCTTATAATTTTCCTATATTTTTGGCTGGACCGACATCAGCTGTCTGTAATAACCTAAAGTCTGTTATATCAGAGTTTGTAATATTGAGCTTTCCCTGTATTAAAAACATTAAAAATTTAAGTTTTAACTTTTTATAGCTTAATTTATTCTTTCTAAAATCAAAAAGCTGAAATTTTTCACATTTTATATATTAATATGTGGTATACACTTCTTCAAATCCTTGGCCTTTAATTTAAGTTTATGTTATTAATAATAACAATTTTTTATTAAAAACAAATTCCTACTTGTCATAACTTTTTTTGGAAATAACAAATTTATGACTATTTTGAATTAAAATTCACATAGTTCTTATCCTAATAAATTTATAAGTATAGCTTCTAATAATGCAACACAGACAATTTCAGTCAGTACAATGCAGTCATTAATTTATACAGTTATAATTTTTAGGTAATTTTAAAATAATGCAATCTATCTCTCTCATAACAGAAATTATAAATAAATCTTATTATACAGTATATGTAAAAATTAATATGCTATATATTCATTCAAGCTGAAAAAATGCTCACAAATTTGAATGCTATTTTTTATCACTATATTAGGCAGATAATCTCACACTTAAATTTTTATTAAGAAAATTTATTCTCCTACAATATATGTAAATTTTCGTTACAAATTTTATTCAATTTTATCTGATATATGTTAATTATTAAAAGTATTATCTTAATTTTTATTCAAAAAATAAGTTGAAAAATTGTTAAATTGATATGACATCTGTTTTAGTCAACAGGCTTTAACAACTACTGTATTTACCTTACTCTTAGACAAACGAGTCAAGATGTAATCAAGGAATAGTTAGAAAAAAAAGCTTTTTTTAAGCTCAAATCAGTAAATGTTAGCAATGAAAAAACAGTATTACTACTACTTTTGCATTATAAAGTTTAAATAAACAAATACAGTGATTTGATAAAGTACACAATAAAATATGACTTAATTTAAATAAAGTGTACTTTTCAGACCATATAATATGCATTTGAGTAAAATCTTCACTAATTTATCTAGGTTTTCCTCAAGGAGTCTAAGTTATTGAGGTTCTAATGTATTTTCAAAAACTGTTTATGAAATCATTTATAAAACATCAGAAATTTAAAAAAGATTCTTTGGAATTTCTCCCTTTATTCAATTTAATCAAACTTATTTTTTTTTTAAATCAGATATGAATTTTCTAAAACTGAATGCTGAGTTGTAATGAAAAAATAATAGTAATACTGTAGTCAAAAACTTAAATCCTTAAATAAATTATTAGGTCTAGTTTTTTTAATTGTATTACAACTCAATGTATTAATTTTTAATTTTTATTTTAATTGAAAGAGAAAATATTCATAATATATAAATATATTAAACATGTTAAATTAATATGATGTTAACACACACACACACACACACACACACACACAACTGAAATTATAAATTATTGCTTATTTATAGACATACCTCTTCTCTAAACTTCTTGATATTATCTCCTTTCTAGAAAAAAAAAATTAAATCAATAATCTTCATTATAAACAATTAATATTATAAAAATTAATATAATTTCTTATTTAAATGTTTTGTAATTATAAAGCAAATTACATACATATCTTATAAAATATTAAAAGTTAACTAACCTTTCCAATAATGCTTCCTACTTCCTATAAATAAATAAAATTCTAATTATTAAAAAGTTTAAAATCTTAAAGTTTATATAATAAAAATTTTATAGTAAGATTTATTTTAAAATTTATATCAAACTTTTCAATACAATTTAATTAAAGAAATTGGGAATGAGAATAAATAAATTAATAATGGTTAAGAAAATTCAGCAAATATTTAATTAAAAATGGAAAAAAATGCACACTTGTTTTTAAAATAATAATTTTGTTAAATTAAATTTTTAGTGCATTTATAAGAAAACAGTTTTCCCAACTGATAAAATTATTTATATTTAATATAATAAGAGATTAAACAAAGAATGACTAGGGAAAACAAACTTTTTAAAGCATTTGTTCATTTCTACATAACATAAAACAAAATTATTACATTAGTTAATAGCTTATGATTTGTTGCTGCTGTTGCAAGATTTTTGAATTACTTAACTATCTATATAAATAAATAGCAGATAAACAAAACAAAATCCACAAATAATAAATAATAATATTTGCCTTTGTATATAGTATTAATGCATTTTACTCTAAATTAATTGTCAAGTCTAATATCTGAAATGCACTAATTTAGTTTCATAATTGAATTTAACTTATAATATAAAAGAAAACATATTTTCATTTAAATACATTTTATACTATATGCATTAATTGAATCCAATAATGAGTTATATACAAATTACATGAAACACAACATTAAATACTTTGCAATTCAAAATTTAAATTGTATTTAAATATGTTGTATTCTCACATATAAATTAAATCAATTTGGAATTTCGTAATCAAATAACAATAATCACTAGCTTTTTCTCAATTATTTTAGTAATGTTTAGTTTTGCTATATTTTGTTGTTAAATTGAAATAATTAATTAATTTAATTAACTATTTCAATTTAATATTCTATTTCAATATATATCAGTACTTTTTAATTTATTCTTTGTATTATTTTTTTAAAATAAACAGCTGTTATAAACTTTGATGATTTATCAATATTCTATTTTTTTAATTTTCTGAATTCATTTTTTTGCTCTAGTAGTAAATTGTTCAAAAAACTTTTGTATATAGCATTAATATATACTAACATTAATACAGTTATGATGTGCTGATGTTAATATATAATTAGATTTTATTACAACAGGAATAAAGATTGTTTTTTCTATTTATTATATGTATGTTCTATCTTAATTTTCAAATGACATTCTGAATTCTTTATCAATGATTTGAGTAGTCATCTTCAGAATGTTATAAAATCTTAGCCTTGTACTATTTCAGAGTGACTCTTATTTAAGGTGTAAAATGATGGGTCAGAACAAGTCTACATAACTAAATTTGTTTTATACTCAGCTAGCCCATTTTATAAGATTAGTTTAATATTATCAATATGTTTTTTATTTTTCAGAATTTTTTTATTAGTTTTATTTTATATGCTTTCTACAATCTGCAATATAAAAAAAACTAAAATTGATAATATTAAGGAGAACATATCATTGGTGGTACTTACAAACAAGGAAAATATAAGTCAAAATTTTAGAATATTTTCAAGATAATTCAAATTATATCAAACTAACAAGAGATACATGATTTAATATGAAACAAGAAAAACGGCAAAGCCATTCTTGGGACGAGAATGTCTCAGAGAGGGCAAGCAACAAATGCACAAATCTTGCACTTGAGCCTATTTACAGAAACAGTCTCAGCACTTTGCATTTTATTTTGACCAAGCTCTTGGTCCCGACTACCTACAGGTCTGGTTTATTTTATGTGTCCATGATTTGGGCACAAAATACTCTGTGCCAAATTGCAACTCCTGACATGTACTCCTTCATACCTCTAAGGTGTGCAGTCATTGACAGCAGTGTGATTTTAGAGACAAGACATAGTCTCATCAATAAAAATTCACATTATTAGTACACATGCAAATTCACATAAAAATAAACAATAGTATCAGATAAGACTAATTGAGGAACTTTGCAATAGATATATACCAATGACAAAAAGAAATTATAATACTCAATAGGCAACCATAATGCAGTCAAAATCTTAGTGATTACTCACAACACCTAAATAACAATATTCTGGTAAAGTAAAATAAAATTTAAAAAATCTTGTAAAATAATGCTTTCATAGTCAAGATGATCAAAGTACTCAGAATGTTTGTAAATATGAAGAAAGAGCAAGATAATGCTGAACTAAAAAAGGAATTAAATAATAATATATAATGTTATTTTATGTACTAAATATATTACCTATGATATTCATATGCCAACACTTTCTTAAGAGTTTAAAAAAGAGTTATTTTACTTTTAAATAAGATTTTACCATTATTATGAATTTACTGATTTCAATAAACAAATATCCAAACAGATACATTAAGATATGTGATATCTTGCAAATACATATTTCATACTTATATTGACATCAAGGAAAGAAATCAGAACTGCAAAATTATCAAGTTCAAGTCAAACTGAAATTAATTTTAAATAAATATGTTATCATTCCAATGAAAAAACTGGGAAATTTTTAATTTTAACTTTGATTTTACTTAATTATGCTATAACTGTTCTTTATAGATGATACTGTACTGTAAATAAATAAATAAATAAAAAACTCAAAATGTAATTAATGCCTTATTCAAATAGAATTTTATACAAATGAGTAACAAATGTTACAATTTTGTAATGATTGTGTGGGAATCTAAATTACACAAAAGAACAATAAATGGTGGTGTTTTTATTATAATAAAAATATATCAAGTGTAACACTCTTTAATAAGTTTAACGAATAAACAGCACTAATAAATAATTAAAAATTATCAATTTTAATAAATAAAGAATACTTCATATAAAATTACTTTCATATTTAATATAAAATTGTGTTTTGCATCATATAAATCAAAGATAATTGCATTTTCTTGACCATATATATATAAAAGAAGTAAATTGCTGGATCATAGACCTTTTTCTGCTCAAACAGCACTAACAGGTGACCATGTATATCATACATCTTAATTTGATATTATTTCTTTAAACATGTCATTTATCTTTCTCAATGATTTTTTAAATTCAATCCTAAAAACATACACAGAATTGCTTATTTATAGTATTCAAACTGATTTATTTAAAGAATTTTAAATTGTATTTTTAAAGACCAAATAAAGCTTAAAATGTATTTGGCAGGTAAAAATAAATTACTTGATGCAATAAATTCTACTCTTTTTCATTTCTGATAAAATATTATTTAATTTTTTTGAAAAATTATTTAATTGCTGTTGCTACCAGTTCATAAGATCTCTCTCTCTGTTCAATATTAAAACCAAATAAATTTTATATATACAGAAAAATAAGCAAGACAATAGTGAAGCAAGATGGAAGAGGTCTGCATTGCACTTAGTAAGTGCTATAACTTAGTAGTAAATATTGCAACTATGAGGTAAATCTGCAAATCAGTAGTAGTAGATAGTGATAAAATTGTTGTTATTCAGTGCTCTTTGCCTATGAAGTCAACCATGTGCTTGACAACCATGATGATGTCATTTGTTACATCTTAAAAGTATCCTCATGTAAGTACAGTGGTATCTCAGGATACGAAATTAATTCGTTCCGAAACTGAGATCGTATCATGAAAATGTCGTAAGGTGGGATCATCTTTTCCCATATGATTACATGTAAAACCAAATAATTCGTTCCAACGCAAAAAACATACTCAAATTAAAGCCAAGTAATACATTAAAAAAAATAACTGTAGTAAGAAAAACAAATGAAAAATGCGAACTAATGTAACGTCGTATGGTGAGTTTTTGTTCGTATCGTGGAGCAAAAATATGTTCGAATTTCATGTCGTATCCTGAAAATTTCGTATGCTGGGGCGTTCGTAACCTGAGGTACCACTGTAATGCAAAGTTTTTTAATTTTTTTTAATTCTTTCTATCAGTAGAGAATTCTTTTGGACTTATGTAACTGTATAAATCCTTTTATTAATACCATTGATTACCAAAGAGTTTAAGAAACTTCAAAATGACATACTGGGACAAAATGGGGATATGTTAAGTGGATAAAACAGTTACTTCATGTCTCTCATTTAGTACCTCGTCTTAATGAAAGAAAAGAACTTAAGAGAAGATAAACTTAGAGAACAAGGCAAAAAGAAGAAAGATCAACTTTCAAAAGAACAAAATACAAAGAAGAAAAACAGAAATGCATCAGTTAAAGCAGCAATAAGCAAGGTTTTTCTGAATAAGGATCACAATTGAACTTGTAGATTTCCAGCAGACCACATGCATTTTTTTCCTACAGTAACTTAGCAGCTTTTAAGCCTGTTGAGTACCAACATATTTGACAACTCCAATACACTAGCTACAAAAATAATATATGCTAACTAGTAATATATATTTTATTCTCATTTTTTCACTAGCCAAATTTAGTTTGAATGTTCTTCATCACAAATATCAGTTTAACTAGGGTTGCCTAATGGCACAAGGCAGGAAACAAGAAAATAAAGTTATGTTACAAAATCCTGTGGGTTGTAAATTAGGACCTTGAGGGCTACTCATAACTGAGTTAAATAATCTGAAGAGAGCTCTTCAAACAATGAAAACATTGAATGCCTTTACTGTGAATACTTACATTCTGATTCAACAGAAGGTTGGATATGTAGTACTAGATATAATGTCATGAATGGGTACCATTTTCAGCTTCAGCTGGTGAAGATGATGAGAATAATAAGGTTCATCTTATTTCGTCAAGAAAAATAGATTGCTGTACTATAAAAAATCCTAAATATTGTTTCATTGCTACTGTGATTTTTAATTGTTTAATGTTAATAATTTAAAAAAATAAATTTAATTTGAAACACTCCATATAGCTTCAAAACATACGTCATTTACCCCACCAATAGAGCAAGATAGGGTATTTGACATGATTTCATAAACATCGCTTTGTAAAAGCGATGTTTATGAAATCATGTCAAATATGAAGAAAAACTTCATAGTTTGA